GTAGGGTCAAAAGAGAGCATCATGACGCCCCAGGGGGGTCTGGGCGCGATCCGGGGGAGTGCCGGGGATTTTTTTAGCCAACAATTACACACTTCGTGGTCTCCGAGTTCCCAGAACTCCATTCCGGGGCCACATTCTGAATGCCAGGAGCCAACTGTAGGCCATTTCGTACTCTTCCATTCCCGGGCCACATTTTGAATGCCCGGAGCCTACTGTAGGCCACTTCGTGCTCTTCGAGTTCCCAGAACTCCATTCCCCGGCCACATTTTGAATGCCCGGAGCCAACTGTAGGCCACTTCGTGGTCTTCGAGTCCCAGAACTCCATTCCCGGGCCACATTTTGAATGCCCGGAGCCAACTGTAGGCCACTTCGTGTTCTTCGAGTTCCCAGAACTCCATTCCCAGGCCGCATTTTCAATGCCCAGAGCCAACTGTAGGAGGAGCAGGGGCAAGAGCACGAGGAGGAGGAGGAGGAGGACACCGTGAGGACACCAAACCCAACGTACTCGGTACGCGCGAAGCTGGGCATCTAGGAACTACGCGCAGCCCGAGGAGCGCGCGGTGCAGAACTCCACCTGGTATTGCACAGCTGCGCCGTACCGCCGCTTCACCGCCCTGGTCCTGGGTAAAACAAGCCAAGCGGCTCCACCCCTCTGCTGTCCTTCCAGGTCCAGCTGCGAATGGCTATCTCGAGTTCCACCGCATTCTCTTACAGGAGGAGCCTACGCAGCCTGATTGCGTGCATCGAGAAGTGGTCCAAAGGCCCCACCCGGCGGCCGCGTTCAAATACAGCAAGACGAGGAGGAGGAGGACGAGCAAGACGAGGAGGAGGAGGAGGACGAGCACGAGGAGGAGGAGGAGGAGGAGGAGGAGGAGGAGGAGCAGGAGAAGGAGGACGAGCAGGAGGAGGAGGAGGACGAGGACTCCTACATGCGAGGACGAGCAGGAGGACGAGCGACTGCGAGGACACCAGAATTCTACACCAGGACTCCTACAGGAATCTCGAGGGCAATGCTTCCAGATATGCTTCTACACATCGCTGTTAGGTTGCTTTGCCGGGATAATTACAAGCGGCAGCCACTTGTCCCTCGCGTCTCAGTTCTTTATTACCTAACAGCGAAGACTGATAGGTTTCTAGTAGGGTCGAAAGAGAGCATCATGACGCCCCGGGGGGTCTGGGCGCGATCCGGGGGGATGCCGGGGAACTCGTTTTAAGCAAACAGTTACACACTTCGTGGTCTTCGAGGTCCCAGAACTCCATTCCCGGGCCACATTCTGAATGCCCGGAGCCAACTGTAGGCCACTTCGTGGTCTTCGAGCTCCCAGAACTCCATTCCCGGGCCACATTCTGAATGCCCGGAGCCAACTGTAGGCCACTTCGTGGTCTTCGAAATCCCAGAACTCCATTCCCGGGCCACATTTTGAATGCCCGGAGCCAACTGTAGGCCACTTCGTGCTCTTCGAAATCCCAGAACTCCATTCCTGGGCATGATTTTGAATGCCCCGAGCCAACTGTAGGCCACTTCATGTTCTTCGAGTTCCCAGAACTCCATTCCCGGGCCACATTTTGAATGCTGAGGCAGGCTGATGCTGAGGCTGAGGCAGGCTGAGGCTGAGGCAGGCTGAGGCTGAGGCCGAGGCTGAGGCAGACTGAGGCTGAGGCTGAAGCAGGCTGAGGCTGAGGCTGAGGCTGATGCAGGCTGAGGCTGAGGCAGGCTGATGCTGAGGCAGGCTGAGGCTGAGGCTGAGGCTGATGCAGGCTGAGGCTGAGGCAGGCTGAGGCTGAGGCCGAGGCTGAAGGCAGACTGAGGCTGAGGCTGAAGCAGGCTGAGGCTGAGGCTGAGGCAGGCTGAGGCTGAGGCAGGCTGAGGCTGAGGCTGAGGCATGCTGAGGCTGAGGCAGGCTGAGGGTGAGGCTGAGGCTGATGCAGGCTGAGGCTGAGGCAGGCTGAGGCTGAGGCCGAGGCTGAAGGCAGACTGAGGCTGAGGCTGAAGCAGGCTGAGGCTGAGGCTTAGGCAGGCTGAGGCTGAGGCTGAGGCAGGCTGAGGCTGAGGCAGGCTGAGGCTGAGGCCGACGCTGGAAGGCAGATGAGCTGATGCTGAAGCAGGCTGAGGCTGAGCAGAGGCAGCTGAGGCTGAGGCTGAGGAGGCTGAGGCTGAGGCAGGCTGAGCTGAGCTGAGGCTGATGGCAGGCCAAAGGCTGCGGCAGCCTGAGGCTGAGGCCGAGGCGGAAGGCAGACTGAGGCTGAGGCAGGCTGAGCGAGGCTGAGGCAGGCCGAGGCTGAGGCAGGCGGAGCTGAGCTGAAGGCTGAGCTCATAGCTGGCTGAGGCTGAGGCAGGCGAGTCTGAGCCGAGGCTGAAGGCAGACTGAGCTGAGGCCCTGAAAACAGTCGCTGAGGCTGAGCTGAGGCAGGCTACTCCTCAGAGCTGAGGAGTGAGGCTGAGGCTGAGGCTAGAGGCAGCTGATGCTGGAGGCAGGCTGAGGCTGAGGCTGAGCTGATGCCAGGCTGAGGCGGCGGCCAGGCTGAGGCTGAGGCCGAGGCTGAAGGCAGACTGAGGCTGAGGCTGAAGCAGAGTGAGGCTGAGGCTGAGGCAGGCTGAGGCTGAGGCTGAGGCAGGCTGATGCTGAGGCAGGCTGAGGCTGAGGCTGAGGCTGATGCAGGCTGAGGCTGAGGCAGGCTGAGGCTGAGGCCGAGGCTGAGGCAGACTGAGCTGAGGCTGAAGCAGGCCGAGGCTGAGGCTGAGGCAGGCTGAGGCTGAGGCTGAGGCAGGCTGATGGCTGAGGCTGAGGCAGGCTGAGGCAGAGGCAGGCTGAGGCTGAGGCTGAGGCTGATGCAGGCTGAGGCTGAGGCAGGCTGAGGCTGAGGCCGAGGCCGACGGCAGACTGAGGCTGAGGCTGAAGCAGGCTGAGGCTGAGGCAGAGGCAGAGGCTGAGGCTGAGGCTGAGGCAGGCTGATGCTGAGGCAGGCTGAGGCTGAGCTGAGGCGCCAAGCAGGCTTGAGCTGAGGCCAGCGAGGCTGAGCCGAGCTGAGGCCAGACTGATGTTGAGGCTGAAGCAGGCTGAGGCTGAGGCTGAGGCAGGCTGAGGCTGAGGCAGGCTGAGGCTGAGGCTGAGGCAGGCTGAGGCTGAGGCTGTGACTGCGACTGCGACTGCCGTTGACACTGCGACTGCCATCGCGAATGCGACTACGACTGCGAGAACAGCAGAATTCTACGACAGGATTCTCATCTGAATCTTAAGGGGAATGCTTCCAGATATGCTCCTACACATCGCTGTTAGGTTGCTTTGCCGGGATAACTCATACCTGATCCAATATGCTGGAAGACTCCCATCGCCTTCTCGTTCCGCGAGGGCGCCTCCCGTCGTCCGCCGAACCCCGCTCGCCAGGGGTGCGAAGGCGTGCGAGACGACTGGCTCTGCCCCCTCCCACTCTAACGGGGCGCGCGGGGGGTCGGGGTTACGTGCTCCGGGGGGCCCGGCCCTCCAGAGAGCCTCCAGGAAAGCCCCAGGACGGCCCGGGAGAGACCGAACAGGGCGGACAGATGGTCCAAGAGAGCGTCGCCGAGAGGGCCCCCAGAGGCAAAAATCGTCAAGTTCCCTCTGGGAACCGTACAGGTTTGGCACAATCTCCTTTTTGTCGTCTTGACAGCGTTCAAGACGGCACAAAGGGGCCCCCAGGATCGTCCCAAGACGGCCCTTGAGACCCCGAAGAGATCCCCAAGACGGCCCAAGAAGGCCCCACGACCGCTCCAGGGGCCCCCAACACAGCCCAAGAGAGCTCCAAGAGGGGCCCAAGAGGGGCAATGCGAACTGACAGTTCGAGCCCTTCCCCCCCAAGATGGCCCCAAGAGCCCCCGAGAGGCCCCCGAGGCGCCCCCAGGAGAGGCCCCAAGAGGCCTCCAAGAGGCTTCCAAAAAGCCCCCAAGAGGCCCCCAAGAAGCCCCGAAAAACTTCACATATGCCCCCAAGAGCCATCCGAGATGCCCCTTAGAGCCCCTATTATGCATCCAAGGGGCCCATGCCCCATTAGAAAGCCCCACGATCGTCGCAAGCTCTCACTCCTTCTGGTGGTCGGCGGAATGGTGTAAACCACTTGAATTAACAATACATCGCCGATGGATCAGCGATGGACCGGACCCCCGATAGCGAAGCCGCAGGGTCACGAGCGGGATGTGCTCCCAGGCCCCTATCGGCGATCAGAGCGATTTTGGGTCGACGCATGACCCCCTGAGCCTGCCCCCCTCTAACGGTGATCCTGGTGGTTTCGAGCCGTAACTCGGCTCCTCGGCGCCCCTTGGGGACGATCTGGGCACCCCGAGAACAACGCCCTCGGCGAGGCGCCGCTGCTGGAGGGCATCCCGAGGCGGGGAAGCCGCCGAGCTCCGACAACAGCCTCCGACAATCTCGAACCTGGCACTGAGCCTGTTCCCCCCCTCACGTGGCCCCCGATGGTCGCGATCGCTCGGGGCCGACCTGGTCCAGACCGCCACTGGCCCTTCAGCCTTGGAGCGCCCATGCTGGCATCGCGCAAACCGCGAAACAAGCATACAGCTCAGGCCAACCGTCGGCTACCATGCCCTCGCCCTCTGGCCCGTACAAGGGCGGGGGAAATGCCATGAGACCCGAGCACGCTCGAGGCAACCCCGCGGCGAGGGCACTCGATCTCACAGCGCATCAAGGCGAATTCCTTTAAATACAAGACAGGGGTGGCCACGTCGGCCCAGTCCAACCCCTCCGCCCCTCCCCCAAAACAGCACTCGCCTCGTCGCCAACGCCGCCCCTGCCCACCTCATCCTCGGGAGCCCGTGGCTTAGGGTCAGTCTCTAGCTCCACGGAACCGGGCAGTGGCTGGACTTCGCTGGGATCCAGTCCTGCCGTCTCGAGCCCGTGATTGCGGGCGGCCGCGGCCATTAGCGGCTGCACGCTGCAGTACATGCGCGGCGCGGACCCCGACGAGGCCGACGTGGCAAGGCAGGCCCTCGCGGCCGCGGCCCCGATGGCTCACTGCACGCTGCAGCACCTGCAAAGCCCAGCCCCGGCGAGGCCGACATGGCGGTGCAGGTCCTCGCGGCACCCGAAGCGGCAGAGGAAGCGCTCCTGGTCTGGCACGGTGAAGGCGCCTGGCCGCACGAGCCGCGCCCAGCCGAGCAGGGCGCTGCCGGGCACGTCGTACCTGGGGAAACCAAAAGGTACGGATACCGCTACTCCCCAGACCTCCCAGGGTGCGTTCTGACCAGGAGCTCGAGGCGAATCCAGCGGTGGCGACGAGGGCCTCCCAGGAGGCCCCAAGAAGAGAAAAACGAGGGAAGGGCAGCCGTATGGGCACCTGTCCTCCCCTTGACTACCCCCCTCTGCGCGTGGCCGACAGTGGCTGCGTCCGCACGGTGATTCGCCCCATGTCGGCGCACCCCTCCTCCTCCTCCTCCTCCTCCTCCTCCTCCTC